AAAAAGTTTCAAAGCATAATTTTCAAATAACCAAGAAAAAGGAAAAAATAAGAATACTAAAATTCTTGGTTTAAGATTTAAATTTGTTTTGGTACCCAAGAACTCTTGGTACCAAAAGATTTAGGGACATGACCCCTATCATTTAAGCTCAAAGCCCTAGGGTTATGAACCCTCTTAGGCATATGTGGTACACTAACACGGTCAAAGCAATAATCACTCAAATGACCCTTCCGATTGCAATATGTGCAATGAAAGAGATCCATTTATTTTTGTGGACCATTAGCTCATGCACGGGAAACATTTACAACCATAGATGATCTTTTAAGATTATTTTGCAAATGTGAAAAATTTTGAAATAATGTTGGTCTACTTGAAATATTTTGTGATTTAGAAACTTTTCGCAAATCAAAACAAAACTTAGCTAAGTGACCAACTCTACCACAAAAATCACAATGATACACAAGAGCATGCTTATGATGAGAAATAGGTGCATGTGTGTGTACATGTGATGAAGAAACTTGATGAGATGCACAAGAAGGATTAATATTCTTATGTTTTTGTGCATCATAGCAAAATTTAGCTAAATGGCCTTTACGACCACAAATGGAGCACTTGTAAACTTTGCTATACAAGTGTGCATAGTGTATGGGTGATTTACTAGATTTAGCACACTTGTCCATAAGTTTCTTATGGTTATCAATGCATATTTTCAAAGTTGAATCTAAAGATGAAATACTATTTTTCATAAGATTCAAATCTTCATTTTTAGGCACATATGCATTTTTAGAAGTAGAACATAAATAGTCATTTATAAAAGAAGCAGTATTATTTTGTATGTTCTCTACTTCTAACATGACATTATCTTTTTCATGAGTTAACTTGGCAAAGTTTGAAAGCAAAGAATCATGATCCAATTTTAATTTTTCATTGTTTTCTTTAAGGATCATATTTTCATTAGAAATAGTATAAAACTTAGAAGTTAAAGACTCATGATCGGATTTTAAAATTACATGTTTGCTTTGTAAATTAATGAAATCATTTTGCAATTTCTTATAGGCATGCAATAATTTATCACTAGCACAAGCAAGTTCATCATTAGGTAAATCATTAATTGATTCGAACTCGCAAACCTCACTAGGGCTATCGCCTAGTGCACGTGTGCATGAAGCTCCTTTTGAACTTGAAGCGGGATCCTCCAAAGCTTGTCGGATCGCCTCCAAGTCCCCTTGATGTGCTTCAATAAATGTCCATAAGGTGTAAGCACTATCAAAAGAATCAAGCTTGTTAGACATAAATGAATCAAATGCATTTAATAAAACTAATCTAATCCGATTGTTAGACCCTATAGGGGGGTGATTAGGGTCTTATGCTAATCTAATCCAATTAAATACCAATTAAAAACTAATTAACAAGTTATCCTAGCAAGTATGAAATACAACAATGTATATGAGCTAGGATAAGCAATATGAATAACAAGATATATCCTAACAAAGAGATATAGGCAATGTATGTGCAAGGATATATAAACTCAACAAGGGTAAATAATCTAAACATGCAATCACAAACACACGATATGATCACGGAGTTCGGACCTTCCGTCCTACGTCTCCGCTTCCTCACCTCGAGGAGATCTCCACTATCACAACCGGGTTTTCTACGTTCACCCGAACAACGTTTACACCTCACAGTGTCGGTTTTCAACGCTCACCGATCAACGTCACTCCTCATAATCGGTTTTCTAGTTCACCGAAAACTTCACAACACACTCGGTTTCTAGCTCACCGAAAACCTAACAATCTCACAATGTAACAAATATAAATTGTTCTCTAATATGGATGAGAACACAATAAAAGCCCACACTCAATGTTACAACTCTCACAACCCTAATATATTATGAATGCAAATACAATAAGCTCAAAGTGGAAGTGGGTGTGTGTAACAATGAGATTCAATAAATCAAAACTAAACTCAATTAAAATCTAGCATATAGAAATTATAAACAAAATAATAAATAGCTAGAAATGAGTTTAGAGATTCTTCTTTAAATAACAAGATGGAGAGATGGAGATTGAAGCCCAAACAAGAAGATGATCTCCTCCACTTGTGAAAACTAAAACAGCTTTAAACTAAACCCTTAAACAAGCTTAAACAAGCTTAAACTCTTTTTAAAACCCTTGTTTAAAAACTTCTTTTTAAAACATTCTTAGACACATGAAAAGAGATCAGCAATTGGGTATTTATACCCACTCAAGATCTCAACAAAAACCCCAAACAAAAAGACAAAACAGCCCCAGCAAACGCTCAGAAAATAGCCGTTGAAAAAAGCAACGGTCATATAGTCGGTCGACCGGAAATTTCGGCGGTCGACCGACAGAGAGCAAAAATACGAAGAATCAGCCTGGACCATCGTCGGTCGACCGGTGCGGTCGACCGATGAAAACTTTCGGTCGACGCACAAACTCTCATGCTGCACACTTGCCGACTGAACATATGAGCGGTCGACCGGATCGGGTCCGACCGATAAATGATACTGAAAATCTGATTTGCCTGATTTTAAACACATTTGTTTAAAAATATCAAAATAATTCCAAAAAATATAAAACTTTGGGGAATGATTGTAGACTATGATAATAAATGCCTACAATGACTGGCTTTCAAAAAAGACTTCCACAAATAGAAAAATATCATATTTTACAAAATAGTCGCAAAACATAAAAATATGAGGATACTTGAATTTTGATGTTTGACATAAAGCCAACTTTTGCAAACTTTGTGAAAGTTTTTTATAGACTTAGCTAAAACATGTATAAACTGATATTGAAGTCTATAAAACTAATAAGACAATATTTCATCTAAAATTGCATATTCTATGCCAATGTTTTTCAAAAACACAATAGTAAATATGAAATAATGTGATTTCATATTTATAAACCATGAAAACCCAAACATATGTATGTATATATAATAAAACTATAATATATATTGGCATAGAAACCAAAACTTATGTATAAATGTAATTAATAATTATATATATAATATATAATATATATATATATATATATATATATATATTAGTATATATATATATATTATATATATATATATATATATATATATATATATATACGAAGAAACCAATAAATGTGTGTGTATAGATAATTAAGCTTAGAGTACTTAACACACATAATATAAATCCTAAAGTAAATTACCCAAGCTAGATCTTGATCTTCATTAAGCTCGACTTGGTACACATGCGGATGAAACTTGAACTTGATCTTTAACTTGAATTGCAAGGCTTCACCGACATTCCGCCAACCTCCTTTGGATATGATCGTTGAAGTTCTATTCCATCCATCCTCCAACTCGTTGTTTGCCTAGAATAAATACAAAAACACAAACACTAGACAAACAATATTAGATGTAAATTGTTTGCTAAATCACCATCAAAACAAGAAGGCCAACATTAATGACTACTAACTCACACATTTAAGGATAGTTAATAACCACTAACTCACCTATTTAAGTAGGAGTTAATGACCACTAACTCCCTCATTATAAGTGGGGTTAAAGCTCATTAACTCACTCCATAATGGTCCTAAGTCTATAAATAGGCATGATCAACATGAGGGGGAGAGGCTAGTCAAAAAGCCTATCTCTCCTCCACTCTCATGGATCTTCATAGATCATTGGCTAATCATTTAGCCTTAGAGCGTTGAAGCTCATAACAAGCATGACGAGGATCATTACAATGATAGACCTCGTCTTAAACAACAAAGTTTGTCGTTGGAAACAAGAGGTGAAGTTTGTCAATGAAAACAAAGCTTGTCATCAGATTTAAAGCTCGAAGACGAGGCTCGACAAAAATAGAGTCACAAGATTTACTACGCAGTTGGACCCAACTATTGAAGATGATCGTTAGTGAAGCCAAAGTTTATTAGACAAAGTCAGTGAAGACAAATTCGTCAGAAGAAGCTTGTTTACTGCAAAGTTTGTCTTGCAAGACGAACCTCGCTGCGTATCGAGGCTCGTTCAATTTGACAAACTCCATTTCAATTAAAGACGATGCTCGTCATCCACATGAGATCTAGCTGTAACAGATTTGAAGACTTAGTCAGCCGCGTGTGCTAATCTTAGGGAACACGTTACGACGCGCACTGAATTGAAGGAGGCAGTTACGCCCCTCTACCTGTGATCTTAGCACGTCAGTTACGTGCTTAAACCCTATAAATAGCCATGGATGACTACAGAGAAAAGGGTTCGGACTTTTAAACTCTTGGCAATTTAGACCTCGAGAATCATCAGAGATCAAAGCTCCTGCGTGTAGATCTAAAATTCGAACTTCGATTCTAGCATTCTAACGAACGTCAAAAGCTTCAGCAATCTTGTTTTGATCGTCAACGGGAGGCAATCTCGACTCAAGAATCGGGGGAAGTATCTTTTCGCCACCAAGAACCCACGTTAAACAAGGAGAAACTGAATTAATCTTCTCTTCATCTGTAATCGAGAGAGTGTGTGAGTGATTGTAAGGGTTTCATACCAAGTGATCGAACCTAGTTTTCTTAAAATAAGAGAATCAATCCCAGTCAATTTTTTGACCCTGCACCTTGTTGTCGCCGGAGTTTTTTTAAATACTAAACTGGCAAATGCGTTCGTATAAATATACCAATTTGGTATTTTAGCCAATTTAACGTATGAATCCGTGTGATCTAAAAAGGGGACAAGTTCATTTTCGCAAGATATGGATGATATACGGATGCCGTCGACGTGTATCAGTTTATTGATAAATCCTTTTGCATCAGCATTAGCGACACACATCATCATTATCATCATCATCATCAGCCGTTGGATACAGTCTCGATCTCAGACCAAACGTAATCCGCAGAGTGATCCCTTTCTTCTCAACAACGAACTCCCGTGGAGGCCAAGCGAACACATGGCGCGCCCTCGTGCCATCACAACCGTCACGAGATCCATCGCTCCGCCATCAATCCCCTGAACAGTCACTCCTCGCTCCGCCAATCCGATACCCGCTCTCTTAAAGGCCTCGCCGTCTTCTTCATCCTCGTCATTATGCCCCTCGACGAGCAATAATGAGTGGCCATGTGGCGGGTCCAATTCGGCGCTCGTAGGATGTCGACGGCGACGAGGTGCGTTTCTCCTCCCGAGATTCGGCGGGCCCGAGGCTCTCGAGCTCAAACCCTCGGTCGCCTTGCCCGATCTCAAGCCCAGAGAGGTCCTCGTCAGAGCCCGCGCTGTCTCCATCAATCCCTTGGATCTTAGGGTTAGCTTTCTTTCTCTTTCTCTTGCTAATTTCATTTATCATTTGCATTCAGCTATTAGAGACACCTGAGATTAATCATCCAAGAAAAAGGGGTCGAATTTGATTTACTTGAGGAGCTAGGTTGGGACGGGAATAGGTTTTGGAATTTGTTTATGTGGAATTTTGGTTGATGTTTAAAGATGAGGATGGAATTCTTAGTCCTAACATTGAGAAACCCGAGGTAGAGGAGATGACCTGGGAGGATTCTTTTATAGGAGGAGGATACAACTATGAGATATAACATACAGGCTCCAAAATATGAAGAACAAGGGTGTGGATTATTGATAAATCACGAACATTTGAAATGTCAGAAGCCTAAGGTATTAACAAAATTCCCTAACGAGGGTTGTGATATCACCTTGTGCCATTGGAAAATTTTTACTGTGCCTAATTCCCCATATCTTTATGTACCATTGTAGCTTTCATTTTGTTGGGTATACCAATGTAGCTTTTTTTTTTTGTGTGTGTGTGATCATTGACGAAGTTGTGAGAGTTTCAGAGAGGTTTGTTGTTAGATTTGCTAGAGGTCTCTGCTTGAACCTTTTTTCTTTTATTAATTGGAATAGTAGGTGGTGGTTCCAAGAAATTTGTTTACTTGTTTAAGTTTAAGCTTGTGATTGGAGTAGAGATATATGGTTATTGGGTGGGAGATAATGTGCTATTTCGTTTTAAGGACACTGACCTGTCAAATAAGCAGCGGTTTTACAGTAATCAAAAGGAGAGAATTAGGAAGGAAATATTTAGACAAAATGGTAGAGAAGTCGTGGAGCATTGAAGATGAGTGGATATAGTGGATTTGCTAATTGCCATGGAGATAGTTTTGTACGTATAGAATTGAATTCATATAACATGGCCCTTACTTGTAGGGCCTTTGGTTTCAATCATGTGCGTAGTACTTGATCCAGGAAGTTTTCTTTCGGTACATGTTTGTTATGTTGGCCCTTCTAAATGAAGGGATCCCATAAGAGCTACTCCATTACTTGTGCAAATTCTCGATGTAGATGCATGAAGGAATTGTCGGAAGTTTGAGTTACTGCTTCTCTTGCCTTTGTTTTACTATAAGATGTGAAGTTAAGTTTAAAGCCCCTATTGCCTTCGTTTTAGTATGCAGGAAATGAATGAAGTGAGAATGGAATGAAACAAGGAATTGAATGGAATTAATGTGGGAATGGAATGCTCATTTCCATTCTCACGTTTGGGTGCAATTAGAAAAGGAATTGGGAATGAACATATTTGAAAGTAAAGTGTTTTTTTCTTACTCACACTTAAGTGGCAATGCCCATTCCCTAACATCTCATTGGGAATGGTCATCCTTACATAAAATGGGAATTGATGAGATATTTCTAGGCTTCTAGCTTCCACAAAACACATCCTATTTGGTACGAACAGATGAGAAGTGGGAATTGACATTCCATTCTCACTTATTCTTGCATACTAGACGAGGCCATTTGTCAACTTCTTTTCTTAGAGCTCACCAAAATATAGTTATTGAGTGGTATGTTTGCTATAAACTAGATTTTATGCACGTGCAATGTACGTGGTTAAATACTATGATTAGATATTTTTGGTTTATTTTCTTACTAAAATTATTCATCGGTTACTCTTTGATAATAATTTTTGCTCACTTTGATTAAGTATTTTTGGTTTATTTTCTACTAAATTTGTTCCTCGATTACACTTTGATTATTTATTTATTTGATGTTTGTTTGAATAGCTACATCCAGTTTAAATTTTTATGTTGATAGTTGAATTGTCAGGAGATAAATAATCTAAAGCCAATTTAAATTTTTATTTCATTTGGATCGGCATGAAACTGAGCTTGAACTGAAGAAGTATAGTGTTATGAAAGTGAAAACGCTTGAAAAAATAACATTATAAAAGGAAGATGAATAATAAAGCCAACGAGCCAAGATGATTGATTTAAAATGGCCTAAAATGACGGAAAATGGTTAATAAAAAAAATCATAAACTGAAGATTAATGCTAATTCTAGTACACTTTTATATGATAAAAACATCCACATATGCATATGAAAGCACTAAAATAGTTTATGAAAATCCCTTCTAAAGATTCCTAATTTTACTAAAAAATAAAACTATTTTATAACAATTCACAAAACATTATCTTTTATTACTTCTATTTTATTTTTTATTGAGTCTAGATAAATCATTCTTCATCTTTACCTTTTTCCTAGCATATTCTAGAATTGTAGTGTCTTCATCGTCTACATCAATTTTGATATGAGACTGGAGCATGTTATCTTTCCTTAGGCTCATTCATCTCTTGTCTTCTCATCTAAATTCACAAAGAAGTTGAATATATTTCTTATATTAAACACAAACTTCTGACAATACAAACTTTGATTTTTTCCTATTTTAATAAGAATAAATATTAATTTCATATATATAAATTTTTTTATGCTTTTAATTTATTACTTAAATAATGTTAGGATCTACCTCTTTTTTCTTTGCAATGAATTCTTCTATTGTGCATCCAATAAGAATTTCTGCTGTGTCATAATGTTACATTTGCTTTGTATGTGTTATTTTTCATGATGATCTGAACTAAATACATTAAATTTTTTATTGTTAATTTGCTTTAGATTATAATATTAATATTTAATTTTGACATATTTATTTCATGAAGAAGGGATATCACTTAACCTTGGTACTAAATCATCGGCGATTCTACAATATTTATCATCTGGACACTTATTATTAACATCTTTATTCACTTTCTTATTGTAGCCTTTGCAAACATAGAATCACTACCCAACTCTATTATAAATGGTAGTTATCGTTATCTTAAAGGTGTGATAATGTGTCTGTATATTGGTAAATTATTCTTAGGTTTAATTATATATGAATTTTAGAATAGGTTTTTTAAGATCATACCTCTTTTAAATGTTATAATGGTTGTATATATGAGTAATTTGAATTTCTGTTGCATTTATAAAGAACCTTAATGAAGATGCTTTTGTCTTGGCAGCTTACTCTAAACGAGCGCTGCATATTAGCTTTAAAATATAATATTTTTTCTTTACGGTGTTATATGGATGTTTATTTGGTTTACTTACTATTCTCTTATTTCTTCAGTAAGTTGTATCTTTGGATTGATATATATTATTGACGTAATTTACGATGACATGCATATCTCCTCTATAAATTTGAGACAGATATAAGGTGAATTTTATATTTAGTGGCTTTTAATAAGAATTTTACTAATGAAATATACTACCTTCATACTTAGAGATCTTGAATTCTAATAGTGCTATTACATCATTATTTTTGATAGTGTCTTTAAGAATTGATCATTCGTTAGTAGTCATACCCCTAAATAAAGTCACACGCATGAGCGTGATACTATATAAGAAAAAGAAAAAGACCAATTTTATATTTTTTGCTCACGCAAAGTATGATAATTTTTCTTTTATCTTCTATGAAGAATGTTTCTTTGATGAGCACAAAATTGTTTAATATATTCTTCAGGGGTATTCAGTTGGTGTTTCTTTGATAAATATAACTTATGTTAGTGTTAATTGAAGTGATTCATGAACGTTCCGAATTACATTTGAAATGAAAACCGCTTGATTCTTTTGAAGGATATCTCTAAATTTTCTAATAGTTCTCCATACATAAATCTTTATAATTTTTTACCTAATAAATATTATTACCATTAAAGATTAATATTTATAAATTATAATCAATTAATGTTAAGCTATTATATTATAGTCTTTTATCAGTTTTTTGTGATTTAGTCTATTATCAATTGATGATACTTATGTATTTTTGGTGTTTTAACATATTGGTAAAATTATATGCAGTTACTTTAATTTATATAATAACATTAACTTTTAATCTATCATATATTTTTTAAATTTTTTATTGTTTAACTGAATATTTTTAATCTGTTATAATTACTATTTTTTACCAGTATCAACTTAACTATTTTCAGATTAAAAAGGGCTAGTAAACCTTAAATTATAAGTTATATTTATATATCTTAAAAAAAAATATCACACAATTACTCTTTTCTTTGTCGACTTCTAAATTTTTAGCTTTTTATTTTGTGTAATTTTAAACTTTTGAGAGTATTTTGTCAAATTTTCAAATTTTTTTGCTTTTTTTGGTAATACTTCATGTAATAAACTGATAGTATAGAGATGTTTCATATATTTTATTAATCTTATTTAAATTGTTGAGCTATAGATAGTTCATGAGGCTTTAGGATGGGATATAAGTATGATTAGTATAGATTATAATTTAAATTAAATATTTAAAATAGTACAGTGTAATTTTGACTATGGAAAGCTTTTCTTAAACTCGTGCTTTTAAAGGGAGTATGATTTTTTATTTTCCTTAATTTTTTTTTATAATTTTGAGAATAACTTTTGTCTCTTTAATTTGTTTGGTGGATTTTGTAAATATCTCATCCACATTATGTACATTTATTGGTCTACGTTGTTGCTGGGTTCGACCTTTGGGATAGACATTATTTGTCTCATTTATTTATTTATTTTTTACATATACGCCCTTGATTTTGTAGACATTTGTAAATTTGAAATTTAATAATTTTATTTAGATTTACATTTCAATTTAAATTATATTATTATCTTCATACTATGTATATCCAATAAGAACTCATCAATTTTTTAATTTACTCTTACTTAATGGAATAATATTTGAATTCCAAGGGTATTTTTGTTTACCGAAAGATTTTCCCGAACTCATGCTTTTAAAGGGAGTATGATTTGCACTTTGTACCAGTGTTGTCAATGCGCGAAGCGCAATGCGGGGCGTAAAGCATCTTTAAGCGCACATGCGCAAGGCGCAACGCGATGGGCGCGCCCGGGTGATGCGAGGCGCACACCGCACACATAATTTTTCAATATATATAATCAAGCGTGAAAGAACATGTTTTTAGAATTTACTTAAAAAATATCATGATAAATAATATCTTACTACAAAATCATAATATAATGCCTTAATTTCTAATGCTAACACATAAATAATATCTTACTACAAAATCATAATATAATGCCTTAATTTCTAATGCTAACACCCAACATAGTAGCAAAATTCATAAATTTTCTAATGCTAACACCCAACATAGTAGCAAAATTCATAAATTTTTAAATCAAATGTTAAATCAAGATTACTATCCAAGCAAAGGATTAATAATTGTCCTCAATTGAAGGCTATTAAAAAGGTCTAATGGATTTATTTTGCTTTTTGAGATATGGAATATCAAGTATAAAGACTCGATTGAAATGTTAACAAATAAAACTATATGAGGATATGTACTATATGCACCCTACACAAAGTAAGGATGTATGCGAGGCGCAAAGACGCTGCTGCATTAGATGTGGGGCGTTTCGTCACCACCCTGCATCATAAGGCGCAACGAGGCGCGTGCCTTTGAAAACACTGCTTTGTACATATGATTGCCCCCTAAATTCTCGACGACATTTTGAGTTCTACACTAGCTACAAGATCAGAAAGAACTCAACATGCTACATCTACCACAATAGTGTTCCCTTATATCTGAGATTGAGATTCCACGTAGGTTAAAATTATGCGGAGCAAGCTTAACTTCATTAGAACTGATTTGGAGAGCTTTGCTTAGAGCAGCCTAATGCAATGTTCATGATGTTTAGGACCATCTTATCGGAAGTCTAGGATGTTAAAAGCTAAAAGTATGAATTTTTTTGCACTTCAACAGGGATAAACTGTCACATAACTGATGGTGGTATACAACCAGTCTGTTTGAGGCAAACAGTAGTAATTCTCATCGAATATTACATAATGATGAAACTGCTATAATGATGCATATACATATAACTGGAGCAGTTACTAACTCTTACGCGCACACATAAGTCGTGCCTGTATTGAATAACTTCTTTTAACATATCTTAAACCTTCAGATGCGATCTGGTTATGGCCGGTCCATATTTGAACCACTTTTGCCACTGATTTTGGGCCGCGATATTAGCGGTGAAGTTGCAGCTGTTGGAGCATCAGTTTCGTCACTAACCATTGGACAAGAAGTATTTGGTGCACTGCATCCAACTGCCGTGAGAGGAACTTATGCTGATTATGCAATTCTATCAGAAAATGAGCTAACGCTTAAACCGCTTTCAGTATCACATGTGGTATGCCTCTCAGCTTTATCTTTATTTCGATGAACCCAATCATGTGTGCCTTCCCAGTTACTAGTTCCAAGTTATGTTTGTGTATTGTATGGTGTTCAATATGATTAAATTTGCTTGGTAATGATCTAATACAGGAGCACCAGACACATCTTATTTAGATTGATATCTCTACATGATCTGGACAAAGTAATTTTAATACTTTCTTCTGAAAAATTAGAAATCACTTATTTGTGGATATTTTATGTCAATTATTTTTTTTAAATAAGTTATTTGACAAGTGTAAACATTATGTTTAGTTCTAGCAATTCCACAAATACTTCAACTTATGATGTGATTCCATACTTCTTAATACAATTACATATGATTGGTCTATTGGAGCTCCTTGTATTGATTGATATATCTGTTACCTGGAAAAAGTAATGTTTAGTTCTCTCCCAACAAAAATTAGATATTAGTCATCATGAGTTGGATATAGTTTGTTGTTTTTATTCGTAAGTGAATTATTTGACAAGCCTAATCATGATCCTAGATCTAAGATTTCTATATATTATCTCATTTTTATTAGCAAATTTGGTATCAATAGTTCTTTAAGGATGTGCACATTAATTGGACATGGGCCATCTGTAAGAAAATTGATTTATCATGTCATGGAGCATAACTTACCACTAAGTTTACTTACCAAGATACCTATCTAATCTTTCTTTAGTTTTTTCCTGTATTATCAAATTTTGTTTATCCATGCATAAGCATTTTGTAGCATAAAGAAATGACATATTAATAGCTTAGCCTCCTTGTCTCCCTTTTTGTTATAGAGAATATGATGTACAATCGACGTTAAACATCTACAGAAAGACTTCAGCAAGATGATGCATCAAACAGTCTTTTAGATTCCGTGAGAGGTATTGCAGGTTTATGGATTAAGTGTATGATGATCATTGGAAAGACTGTTTAAAATGTTTTGGCACCTCAAGGAAATACCAAATGACACATTTAATTAAGTGAATCATTGCATCAATCAATAAGGTTATTCAACAGTGACACCCAAGTATAATAGGATTCCTGGAAGCATTATTATTTCCTTCGTAATATACATGTTCATCTGTTAGAGGCTTGAGCAGTTGTCTATAGAATACAATGTTAGAAGTTATTGTTCAACTCCCCACAGTATGTTTTCCTGCAGAGGCAGAGGGAACTCCATTTTTGGGTGTGCGATGAGCTTTGTTTGATGAATATGTTTAAGCACATTAACAACAAATAGGGTAGAAATTGGAACAGAACTTTCATTTCTCAATCTTGGTGGAACAGAAGTCAGCCTTTGTGATGCTGCTGTTAGATGCAAAGGAGCAACAATTTTAATCCATGTGAAGTTTGAAACTAAGAAGAACCGAGTTCTAGATTCTGATCAAATGGAGTTATTTATCAAACAAAGTTTCAGACAAGTGGAATAAGACCGTCTAATCTGAAAATTTTCCAATTCACAGTTTTGAGTCCAAGTTAGGAAGAGTTTTGTTTGGTGTTCTGGTACTTCCATACTGCCGATAGAGATTTACCTTTTTTTGATTTCAAGTCTACTTAATTTGTTCGAATAGAGTAGCAGATGCATCTAAAGTCTAATGGTAGAATCTTAGCCATCTCTTATAAGTCATAAGGATACAGTTTTTTGAGAGTTCTTTTTAAGAGACACAGTATCCTTCTTGCTATCAGAGGCTTTTGTCCTTATATACGAAAGCATGAAGACCTTATGGATCTTCAATTATGCAAGAGGCTTCATTGTTATCCAAGTTCTTTTGTCCTGTCCATTTATCTTCTCATTAATTTCACGAGAGATAAAAGTCATGACTTTATTTTATTGCTTTCACTAGCAATTTTGATTTAAAACCTGCAATCTCAGATAGAAATAATTTTGCTCAGCTGGGAGATTTAGTGTCTTTGCCTCACAAAACATTTCGGTTGAAGGCACACCAAATCACTTTAAACCTAGCGTGGTATTATGTAGAAGTGATGCACTGATGTTAGGTTAACGTGTTGTTTTATCTGTTTATTGCATGTGACTGATATGAAAGTAGAGAAAAGGACTTCAGTATAGCTAGACTAGAGAGACAACTGTCTGTTAAACTTTTATAAATACACTAGGTTTACATATTGTTCTATTTTACGCTGTGCAGAAGCATGATTCTCTTGAAATACTTGAGGTTGTGTTTGGTTGTAATTACTACCTATGCTTTTCATGCTTTTTTGCTTTTCAGATTATTCTAAAATATTTATCACTTAGCAGTTAATATTAAATAGTCTATATTTTTGGTGCAAGGAATTGTTTAACCACAGTATTAATGTGGTGTGTCATGCTGCCATGAACAATGCTATAATTTTGCAGGAGGCAAGTGCCATTCCTTTTGCTGCTTTGACTGCATGGCGTGCTTTGAAGAGTACTGCTAGAATTGCTAAAGGGTATGTGAAATGCTATATCATGACCATGTAGACATTCACTGCCATGGTTTTATGAGCTTTTGATGGGTTCTGGACCTTTTCTTAGCACATTTTCTTGAATCCTTCTAAATGCATGGGCATTTTGATAATGGCCTGTTTTTTTTTAATTTTTTTTATAACTCATGTCTCTTAGAATAACTTGCTCAGTCGTAATAAAACTTGGCTCCTTATTGATGTTATCTCACAGCTGGCCAATGAATTTTATGTATTCCAAGAAAAGTAACTTTTCTCAAGGGAAATCGTGAAAACAAGCTGTGAACTCTGTAATAATGCAAAAGTACTGAGCTTCTACAGATGGTCATATTGGTTGTTAGAACAGGCCCAACAATGAATCAATGCCAATACAAATAGCAAAGCCTTTTATCTAACAATTTTCAGCCCTGGTTATGTGATTATGTTTTATTTCACATACCTCTGCTAAAGTGCATTTCCATTAAAAACATTTCTGACTAAGAGACATGAACAGACACCGTGACATAGAATGGTGACACTGTAATTCATGTAAAAGAACACAGGAAACATGGCACATAAAGAGCAAAATGAAAATTGATTTTATATGCAGACATACTAAAACCGTTTTTATACACACACAGACACACACACGCACACACCAGAATCAATTCCACAAGAATTCAATGAACTTACCAAATGATTAGGTTTATTGTTTTTTGGGTACAGAAATGATTAGGTTTATAATTACAAATAGTTGATGATAAAGAATTTCAAATTTGAGAATTATAAACATGTCATTGGAGTTGAGTAATTTCTTGCCGTTAGCCTAGCAATGAGTTAGGCGGTCACATCCGTTTGTTGTAAAATGCAGTTTCGGTTAGTAAGCCTGCCATCTTTTCCCCTTCTGGACTCCTACCTAGTCTGAGAATTTTAGATGATGCCAGATATTTTGTTGATTGAACCCTCTGCTTAAACTGCATGGCCTATA